ATAGGCCAAACTTTCAAGGTCATCTCTTCGACTCAATTCAATATTTTTGTGACTGTTTAAACTTGCATATTTTGCTGTGCCAATAAAACTACGACCACGACGAAAAGGGATATGAGTCAATGTTCTGTTCTCACCTTCACGAAATCTAAAACAAGAGAGGTAATTAAATTAAACGAAGGTAAAGTGAGAACATAGGACAAAGAATAGGCCAGAGAAGAAGAAAAGTATGGGCAGGATCTTGACGAATCCAAAAAATTAATTAGAGGTTAGTAGGAGAGATCGGAAATTTAAAAAATCCTTATTTTAATTGAGGAAAAATAAAATCTTGACCGGATTCTTGACCTTAAGGAAAATTCAAGGACAAGGAAGAATCAAGGAACACTGAAAAATGCCTTGATCATGACTTTGGATCCAGGAAAAGTCCAGATACAGGTTAGTAAAAGGTTAAAATCTCCAGCAGTAGGGGCTTTTAAAACAAAATAAGTAACCATACCGATATCTTCTCGCCAAACCAAAGTCGATTAAATAAAGAGTGCTTTCTTTTCCAGGAGGCAATCCCATCAGAAAATTTTCTAAAAATACAAAGGGAATTGAATAATCATCTTAAAAAAACCTGGTTTAATATCTCGATGGATAAATCCGCGTTGGTGTAGATGCCTTATTCTGTGAATCATCTGCTCACCAAGTGATACAATCGTCTAAAAAACTTGAAATGAAATGAGAAAAGGATAAAACCTGTCTAGCAAATCTTCGATTGCAAAAAGCAAATAAGGAAGCAACAGGCGCTCCCAAAAGTTCCATAACCATTATCTTAAATTAAAATTTTTTTAAAAAATGGGTTTGAAAATTCACGTTATGTCCAAATTCGTGGTCATAACAATAAACTTGAGGAAAACCTTCCACTTTTCCATTTCCATCTTCATAAAGAACGGATTTGTAAACCTGAAAAAGATTTTTTGATTAAAAAGCCAAAATTAAATAATTTACCAAATACTCATAGCGCAAATGGTTGTCACGACAAGCTGTTAAAAATAAACAAAAAATAAAATACCAAAGAAACCTCCATCAAATTTAACAGCAACTCTTTGTTTTTTAACTCCAGGACTGTGCAAATCCTCTGCTGCAAAAATTTCACCATATGAACCAGAAGCAATACTTTGCATAATTCGGAAGCGATTGTTGACGAGTAAACCAATTTTGTTTTTTATCATTGCTGCCTGCTCCCAACCTTAATAAAAAATTCTTGAAAAACAAGATTGATATATAAAAATGAGTCCACCACTAAGGTCAAATCAAGATATTTAGAGGCTAAAGGGGAATCAAGATTAAGAATACGGTGGCATGCTGACTTTTGCCTTATCTGACATTTGAAGATTCCGTCTAATTGTAAGTTTCCATAAACCCACATCCATCTTAATTCGCCCAAATCCTGATATCCCCCTTAATAAGTCTTAATCTGCACAAATCCTTTTTATCCTCCAAATATTTGGATTTGTGAGTCTCTGGGTGTGTGTGAGTACCCCTACCTTAAAGATTGATCACATAAAGATAACCTGTAACAGCAGTAGTCCAATCTCCAGCGCCATCCAACGATGGAGGTCGACATTTTTTATTAGGTGTAGTAACAATATGTTGTTGATGGTGATGAACAGCCATGACAGGATGGGCTAATTTGTGCAAAACTGCAGCGGCCGTTGATGGGGGCAAAAACGTTTGGGGTAGAAAATTAGAATGTGCTGTTGAAGCCGAGGGTGGTTGAATAAAAATATTTGGTGGAGGAGGAGGTAGAGGGGGCAATTGACTGAATGTTTGTGGAAGGGGAAGACAATCATTAATTCCCTAAAAATTAAAAAAATTATGAAGAAAAATAGAAAAAATCAACCAAAAATGTAGGCGGATTCGGTCCATGTGGGTGGTTGTGTTGACCTGAATGAATCAAATTCGCAGGAACAAAAGCAGCCGCAAAGGTAGAAGAGCCTGGCTGGCAAGGATTTGAATCCAAAAATTTTGTTCCATTATCAATTACAGGCCTAAACGATATCAAATGTAGTTGGCCCGAAGAGGGAATATTTGGTTGTTGATTAGCCATTGCTGTAGTTGGATGACAATTGGGCATTAGTTGAACAACAGCAGAGCATTTTAAATTGTGTTGGGGGGAAAGAGTTGTTGTCTGAAAATATGAAGCTGTTGCTGAAGATTGTGGTAATTGAAAAGAGTGAAAATTTGTAGAAGTTGTTAAATTATTTGGTTGATGCATTTTTGTTAGAATTTTAATTTCTTTGCAACTTGAAAAAATAACAAAAAATTATAATAAAACATTAAATCAAAAGGTAAAGTAATGTTCAATAAATAAACAAAATGTTTAGCAAAATAAATAAAAAAGAAGGGAAGAGAAAGGTACAGCCGGTAACGAGATGCGTTTGCACAAGGTTAGTACCAGCTCAAAACAAAAAAAAGTGTTGAGGCGTTCTCGCAATAACAATTGCACCATTATTTACAAACGAGTACACACTGACTTTGTATATTTCTCTGATTTACTTTCTCTCGTCTATTTTTCACTCGTGATTATTGAAAAAAATGACGGGTAGTGGACGTTTCAGTGTTGCATTTTAAAAGGAGTCGTTTCAAAGCAAATTATTCAGTGTGTCCTACTGTCGTATGAGAGAAAATCATTAAGAATTCCCGTACGGGAGTTTACGGGATTCTGTCCTGAAATCTATTGTTTTAGCGACTATCGGGATTTACGGGATTGATCCGTGGGATCCTGTCCTGTTAGGCTTGAAAATCCAGAGAAAGCGATTTTGCCGATTTAAGCCGATCATAATATTGTAAATCATATTAATAATGTAAATTTATGATAACATTTTATCATCAAAAATTAGAAACAACAGATAATACAAAATTTAGAATGTTCTATTAATTATTAACATTCAGCTGAAACAATTCGCTGTCTTGGTATCCCATTGTTCTGGGATGTTGAAGATCTGTTTATTTCAGGCCGTTTATTCTGACTAAACCCAGTTCCATTCTCAGCTTTATCCAACTGCCTTTCATTCCCTCCGACTCCATTTCGTGCAAACTGGCATTGATGCTGAAGGCGACGTTTTGCTGTACGTATAAGCCGATAGGAACCATATTTTATGTTTTCACGTCGGCGAACCATTGCCTGGTCTGATGCTAACCAACGATGTGAAAGTGCTTCGTCTGTACGCATTCTCCGCCTGTTTAATTTAAAAAATTGACACAAAAAATAATTTTATACGAAGGCTGTTTCTTTAAAGCCCAAAAAACGAATTTGAGTGCTTCTTCGCTTGCTTGTACTGGAATCTAAACAGAAAATTTAGAATACTTTAAAAATTTTTTTACAAGGTTCGGATCACAACGTTCCTCAAGCACATTATGGCGTACTTCTTGAGGTGTGTCCGTTTCATCAGCAAATGGATGAAAGCCAGCAAGTCTGAAAATCCCGGGTTTAGATTTTCCAATCATTTGATGCTCAAACTCACAGGCAAAAAGTAATTAGGCCAAGACCCCACATATCACTTTGCTGATTGGCCAAAATTTGATCTTCGTTATTTTTGGCGGAATTGTTTTCCAATCCATTAGAAGTCTTTTTAGTTGTTAATAATAGAACTTCCGGTGCAGTCCATTCTTCAAGTAACTGTCCATCACCTGCTAATCCATTACGCGAACCTATAAGACGAGCTCTCCCAAAGTCAATTAATTTAACATGCCAAGCTCGTTTTGTGGTAAACATTACGTTTGTAGGTTCAACATCACCGTGAACAAATCTGTTATTGTTTTGAGGGGTTTGAGGGTATCTCAGAGGTAAACTCACCCACAAAAGTGGATCCATCGAAGAGCACCAGCAATTTGACGAATAACAAAAGCTATTTGCTCCTATAAGTATTATTAATTGTGAGTACTATTCGAAGGATAACAACCTCAGAATATGTCTCAAGCCTCACAAATCTTTGAAAAATATCTTCATAAAGACGCTCCATGAAAAGAAGTTGGAAAGCATTGTCAGAACAATAAGCAGCTAGAAGTTGAACGATGTTTTCATGTTGACATTCTGATAGTGTTTCATATTCAATTAATGCAGCCTTCATACGTTCTGCTGGTGTTGCAAACATTAGAGAGCCGTGAGTAGGTGAGGCACGTATTTTAACTGAACAAAATATCTTTGTAATTGTAAGGAACAATAAGATTCTAAAAATACCTATACAATGGGAACTTGTTTTAGAGTCAATGGCATAGCGTATAACGCTAAACTGGCCACGGAAAAGTTCTGTTTCCAGCTGTCAATTAATATTAAATTTAAATCGGTAATGGTCTGTGGTACACTTTGTCAAATCAAGCCAGATTTCATTGATTTTGGTATCATTCGACTCAGCTCGATGAGCTCTTTCGAATGAGCTATTATTTGCATATTCGATTTTTTCACCCCCAAAAAACAGCTTACTCCCCCTATGGTTTTTCGATTTTCGGGGACCCATATCTCGGCCCATAGTTGAGTCCGCGGAAAAATTTTGGTGTCATTCGACTCAGCTCGCCGAGCTCTTTCGAATGACATATAAATCATCGATTTTTAGATCTCGTTACTAAAGTGCACTTTAGCCTCCAGGCCCAGTCATTTTTGGCCTTCCTGGGCCTGTAGTCTAGGAAAAACCCGGGAAGGTCAAAAAATGCTTGGGCCTGGACTCTGAATGAAGGAAAAACCCAGGCCTTGTTTCAGGCCCAGTCATTTTTTGCCCTTCCCGGGTTTTTCCTGGACTACAGGCCCACGAACAGGTTTAGGCTTTTCAAAAATACAGATTTCTGGTTCCTAGTATTTTTCTAGTTCTTAAAAATTAAGGAAGTGTTGCTCTTTCGCTATTTTGAGGTTTGCCATAAGTTAATTACGTCTGCTTTGTCCGAATATGTGTCGAAATTTTATCGATTTTTGAGTCGTCTTTAGTAAAATTTGGACTTGGAACACTCAATTACCTATAACCAAATCTCAGAAATAGTGGGGGGGGGGCATATCGAAATTTTTGTGATAAAAATAACCTCGTTAGTATTTGCATTGATTCTAAAGCATAAAAACTCTTCTTCAATAGGGAAAGGAGGGAAATGGGCTTTCTAAGATCCAGAGGACGTAGAACCCGAAATCAATAGATTAACTGTACATTGACTGAAATATCCCGAATGTCCGTTTTAATATCTCAGTGTGCCTCATAAACATCGAAAGAGCACTTCCTCAATTTTTTAGGAATCAGTAAAATATACAACCTTTAATTATTTTTTAGAGACTAGCAGATAAACAGGCACAAATGGCGAGATGTGCGGTGGAAAATTCGGTTAAATTTTTTAGTATTTTTTTGGGGGGAAAGTACTGGGATGATAAATTAGTCAAGAGGTTTGCGTCAAAAAGCTAATTCGAGAAATTTTATATGTGTTTTTGGGACCAAATGTCCACATTTTTTTGTAAATAGTGTTTTTGACTGAGATTGATTTGTGATTTTTATTTCCAAATTAATTTTGTTTTTTAGGCACCCCCACAAGTCTGTACCAGTTGTTATATTCAATATGCCCAATTGAGAGAAGAAGAATATAAAAGTCAACATTTGGTTTATTTTTAATTTTTTTTAATTAATTAGAAATTTTTTAACAAGCGCTTCGACCTTGTTTTCCTCCCCCTACGGGGTTGGACACGTAAACGGAACAAAAGCGGGGCTTTGTTTTTCACACGAAACATCCTGATAACCCAAGAAATTTAGAAATTTTCCAAGGGTGATTTGACCCCTGCCCATGGATTTTTCAACTTTTTGTATTTTTTTCGCAGTAGTAATAGTTACCCCACACATTAGGAAAATTTATTTTTTTGTATCTTCAATCCTATTACTCCCAAAACTCCGATTTTCAGTTAAAGGGGTTGTCGATCTAAATAGTCGAAGTGAGCGTAGTCGGGAGGCTTAAAAAATTTTATTTGTTTCTTAAAATTTAATTTTCTTCGAAGGATGTCTTGTCTGCCAATAATCGAACTTGTACAACTGTTATTTACGGTTTTTTTTATTTTTAAAATTTTTTAAAGAAAATTTTCTTCAGAAAATTATGTCGTCAGTTATGCTCATTTAATGTCTGGTGCGCTTGGAAAACAAATTTGGGAAAAGTCGAGGTGTCAATGTAAAGTATTTTTTGGTTTTTAAGGAGTCTTAGAGAGGGTTTTGGGGTCTGAGTCAACCTAAGTGTTTGGCTAGGAAGTCACTGACTTTTATTTTTGTCAATAGGAGTTGAGGGGGAGGGTCATGGGACAGATAAAGTCGTTAACCTTTAATTTAAATTTTTTAGTCAAGCCAACTTCTTTTAGTTCTGGATCGCTTTAGGGTCTAATTGTAAGCCACTGACCTTTGTATCAGGATTGTCACTTGTTTAGAAAAATTGTCGGGTTAGGATTTTTGGCAATCCCGGATAATAGGTATTTCTTCAAAAAAATTTTTAAAATAGGAAAAAGACTTTTTAGGGTAAAAAATATGCTGATTACGAATCTGAGCTCAGATTTTGAATATTTTTTACCCTAGAAAACCCCTTTTTCTAATTCTTAAAATTTTTTTGAAGAAACTCCTATATTCAGGATTGTCTGATTTTTGTTTTGTTTTTTCAAAAAATTTCTTGAATCAAATTTCGAATCGAAAAATTTTTGGGGTTTCCAATTTTGGTCCCTGCTCTAATTTCCGAGTCATTTTTCCTCATTTATAGCTCTACTTGGGGTTCCCGAATTTTTTTATTGACTCTAATACTCTTTCTGATCGACCCAGGACCTCAAAACCATTAGAATCGAAAATTCTACTTTACCTAGGAAAAAATTAAAAAAATTAATTTTTTTAGCCTGTCTAATAATTCATGGCGATTTAACAAATGGAACGGCTACCTTCGACCTAGATAATAAAACAGTTTGGAATTTCCTCCTTAATTAAAATTAATTTAATTTTAAAGTCAACATTTTCTAAATTATTAAATGTTTGGAGGGATTGTATTTCCAACGCAACATTTATTCTTAAAAACATTCAAAACAACAACAAAAACACAGGTTTACAAACATATAAAAGACAAGAAGACCCTCCATTTGTTTGCCAACATTGTTCAAAACAATTTGATTCTCTTTTTGATTTTTATTGGAAAGTTTATACTGCGCCGAACATTGATTTTTGTGTTGATGTTGAGGCGATGGTATGTGTTTTTGTGTTTTTATGAATGTTTATGTTTTTAATATGTTTTAAAATAAAGACAAATAAACAAACAAAACACAAGTAGAATTACAAACAAATGTTTTTGACCTGTTTGTGTTTTATTTTTGTGTTTTGAATGTTTGTGTTTTATTTTAAAATTTTAAAACAAGATAAAAATAAATGAAAACATGAAACACAATCATTTTGTTTTATATGTTTGTATTTTTCGTCAAACACAACTTGTTTTTAATAAAACACAAACAAGTTGAATTGCAACAACTTGTTTGTGTTTTATTTAAAACAAGTTGTGTTTGACGAAAAATACAAACATAAATACAAACATTTGTAAAACACAAACATGTTTTTTTACTAAAACAAGTAAATATGTGTTCTATTAAATATAGGAGCAAAACATGTTAATAAACATTTGAATTTTATTTGTTTTAAAAACAAACCAAAACTTGTTTTCTTTCTAATTTGTTTTTTGTTTTTATTCTAACCGTTTAAATTTTTTTTAAATACTAGATGAACGATACAATGAATTTATGGCATGATGTACTTCACTGCAAGGATGACCCTAGAACTGAAGATAGGCATCAGGATATTCGAGTAGCTGCTTTTTCTGCTGCATTGTTAGCCATAGTTATTGGGTTGTTTTACGCTGGGAGTTATATACAAACTGAACAGGCACAAACACAGCTTATTCAATGTTTGTTTTCTAACTTTTAATGTTTTACAAAAAAATAGTTTATCAAATAAAACATGTTTGTTTCGTTAAAGAAGTTTTATTAAACAAGTTATGTTGTGTTTGTATTCAAACAAACATTATTTTATTAATTACAAACAAGTCATGTTTGTATTTTTATTAAAACATAAACATGTTTGTTTTATTAAAACTTGTTTATTCTCTTACAAACAAGTTTTATATTTTTAGTAAAACAAAACATTCCTGTTTTATCAACTAAAAACATGTTTGTTTTGTTTACAAACATTTGATTAATTCAAACATTTTTGTGTTTTTACCAAAACACATGTTTGTTTTATTAAATAATGTTCGTCAAAACATGTGTTTTAGTTAAATCAAAACAATCTCTAAAACACCTTTCTTTACAGATTCTCGGAGACAAACAATCCATGACGTCCAACGTTCTCGATTACTTTCTTCTTCTACATTGGATGCTTATGCTGATCCAACTCCTGGTTCTTCAATGCAGGGATAACGAAAGCTTTTTAATTTTTTGTGGCTTTATTTTTTTATTCTTTAAAGAGTTTTCTTTATTCTTTTCTTTTTCACCCTCATTTTCACTTGATAAAAAAAGATTTTTTAATTGATTTTTCGAATGATTATCGATTTTTATTCGTCTTGTTTATTTAATTTTTAATGCAAAAATTTTTTTTAAATTTTTTAGGATTTCTTAAAATTTATTTGATGTCATTTGCAACACAAATTCCTTCACATTCCCCAGCTCAACAACACCAACATCAATTAATGATGGAACAAATGAAGGTGTTTTTATTAAACAATTTCTTGTTTAAAAATTGTTTTTAGCTTAATCCAACTCAAAATGTGTGCCAAACAAATTCTATAAATTCAACAAATTCTGTTAATGTTGTTGACTCTGTTAAAACAATCTCTTCTGTTGCTTCTAGTTCGCAGAATTTAAAGGTTTTGTTTGTTCAAGAAAAACATTTGTGTTTTTATAAAATACAAGTTCAGATTTCTAAAATAAACTTGTTTGTCGATATACAAACATGTGTTTTGTTCAATGAAAACAACGGTTAGAAAAACATGTTTTTATGAAAGTTGTTTTAATCAATAACAAGTAAAACACAAACTTGATGAACAAGTTTATTTTTCGATAACTTTTCTAAACACATGTTTTGATGAAATAAAACGTGTGTTTTTATATGTTTTTGTCGAGAAAAACATGTGTTTTTGACAAACATGTTTATTTTATGAAAAACATTTTTAAAAACAAACTTGTTTTAATGAAATACAAACATGTTTTTATTTAAATGTTTTTCAAGAAACACATGTTTTTATTAATTAATGTGTTGTGTTTTATTTAAAATACAACCTTGTTTGTGTTTTCTGATAAACAAGTTTATTAAAACATTCTATAAATAAACTTGTTTTAACAAATGTTTGTCAAAAACACAAATGTTTTTATTTTTAAAACACAACCTTTGTATTTTATGACCAACATGCATATTTTATTTGTTTTTAAGGCTCTCTTACCTCCCGTCCCACCACAGTGTGGTCCACCAACCGTTTCTTTGGCTTTACTACTTGATTTTGCTATCCATCAAACTGCACACGAATTACAAGTTTTATATACGCTCAATTTACAGAAGAAAGCGCAAGATCGAACAACTAGTGTTGTCCAGTTTGCCCATTCAACTCGTCTTGTGTTTGTTCGTTTACTGGCTATTGTTCGTTGGCTTAAAACTAATCGAAAATTTGAACCCCTTTCTTCTATGTTAGTCTATTTTTAATAATTCGAAGAAAAAAATTTTTCAGACGCTTTTTATTGGATGAGCAAGCAGCTAGGTATGTGGAGACTGCAGACAAGCTTGTGGAAATTGCGAGAAATGAGTTGCCTAATGCTAGGTATAAAATTATAAATTTAAAGATTTGAATAAAAATCAGAAAAATTAAGATCAGAATAAAATATCGTATTAAATTCTGAATAAAACAATAATTCTGGTTTTTTATTTTTAAATTCTGTTTTTTTGTTCTATTTTTAATTCTGATTTTTCTGTTAATTTTGTTCTGATTTTTTTTGTGTAAAATTTTAAAATTAGGATAAAAAGTGGAATTTAAAAATCTGAAGGAGAAATCAGAAATAGAATCAGAATTTAAAAAATCAGAATATAAGATCAGAAAAAAATCAGAAAATTCAAAATCAGAATATAAAATCAGAACAAAAAATCGAACTTTAAAAAGGCTGTATTTAATACCAGAATAAAAATTCAGAATTTTTAAATCAGAATTAAAATATAAGGAAATTAAACATCAGAATTTTAAAATCAGAATTTTAAAAATCAGAATGAAAAATCAGAATATAGAATCAGAACAAAGAATCAAACTTTTAAGTCAACATTTAAAACCAGAATAAAAATTCATAATTTCCTAAATCAGAATTTAAATATAAGGAAATTAAACATCAGAATAAAAATCAGAATTTAAAAAATCAGAATAAAAAATCAGAATATAAAATCAGAACAAAAAATCGAACTTTAAAGTCAGCGTTTAAAACCAGAATAAAAATTCAGAATTTTGAAAAACAGAATTTTGAAATCAGAATTTAAATATAAGGAAATTAAACATCAGAATAAAAAATCAGAATTTAACTTAACAACAAATTAGAATTTTATTATTTTTTTATTTATATTAGGTTGTCAGTTTTTCATGTTCCACAAGCTGTTGATGTTCTTACATTGGGCACTTACCCTCGACTTCCTCAAAATATAAAGGCAAAATTTATTAGAAAAATTAACTACAAAATTTATTTTTCTTTAAAGGATCGCTTTGTTTCAACCCCTCCATTGGCTGGCCGTGAGCAACGATTAACTTTGCGAGAACTTAACAGAGTTTTGGAATTTCATTTGGCGCAGAGTGCAAGGCAATTGTCACCGCGTATAGAGCAAATTAATATTAAAAATGGAATGGTAAGGAATTTTTATTTTCTGGTTGTTTTGATTTTTAATGTTTTGATTTTTATTCTGATTTTTAAAAGTTCTGATTTCTTCTTATTGATTTTTTGTTCGTTCTGATTTTTTCCGTTCTTTAAAATTTTGATTTTTTGAGCTGAATTTTTATCTGATTTTTATTGTTCTGATTTTTTTATTCTGATTTTAAATTCTTCTCTTGTTCTGATTTTTTATTGTTTTTTGTTCAGCTTCTTTATTCTGGTTTTAAATTCGGTTTTCTTTTTCTGATCTTTAGAAATTCTGATTTTAATTTTGATATTCTTGTTCTGATTTTAAATTCTGTATTTTTCTAATTTTGTTTCTGATTTTATATTCTGATATTAAATTCTAATTTTCGTGTTCTGATTTTTTATTCTGATTTTTGTTCTGCTTCTTGAGCTTCTGATTTTTTCTGATCTTTAGAAATTCTGATTTTAAATTCTGTTTTGTATGTTCTGATTTTTAATTTCTGATTTTAATGTTCTGATTTTAAATTCTGATTTTCTTGTTATGATTTTTTGTGTTCTGATTTTCCTTCTGTTGTTAAATTCTGATATTTTTATTTCGCCCTTATTTTTGTATTTTTAAATTCTAATATTTGTGTTTCTAAATTTTTTAAATTCTGATTTTCATTATTTCTGATTTTACCCTTAAATATAAAATTTAAAGGTTACCCTAATTGTCCCCAATGAATTTGAAATTGTTTTAACACGTCTAGGCGACGATTTGCAACAAACAAAATGGTGTCTTTTAAATATTAAAATACTTGTAACAAATGCTGAGGTTGGGCAAGGGCAACGTTTAGTTCATCCTCTACAGGTGAATTTGAGAAGAAATTTTTTTGAATATTTTTGAGAGACTCTTTTTGAACAATCAAAATTTTATTAATGGATATAATTGAGTCTAACTTCTATTTTATTAGTTATTAATTAGAGAAAGCTTAAGCTATTCGCCAGTATCAAGATCAAGACTAGGAATTCTAGTCGTCTCAAAAAATAATTTTTCAAACTCAAAACCGAAAACATGTTTTTCTAAATTAGGATTAACCGAAAACCAAGAGGATGGAGGAGGTACCACACCTAACCGATTGTGGTCTCACTCAAAAATGTTAGGGGAAATTGGGGAATACTTTTTTATTTTTTAATATTTTTTTATTTACGAGTTTGAGGAATTTCGGTTAGGCTAGCTCCCTGTTTTTATAATCGGTCGTGTACACACTCCTATCCTTCATTTAAGCTTACCTTCATTATAAGATATCATTTTTCAACGCTAATAGTGAATCCTTCAACTAGGTTTATCTCTATTTAATTTTTTTCATTTCAGGTAAATTTTCTTCACCAAATGGTTCAAGAAAGATTAGACAATGGAGAGAAGGTGAGAGAAAATTTTTTGAAGAATTTTTTTAATTTTTTAAGCAAAAAAAAATTTTTTTAAAGCCTTTATTCGATGCCTATAACATTTTACACGTTTTTTGTCGTTCACTTCAATTGGACGTTATTTATTGTCAAGCAACTTTAATAGCTAAAATCTCCTCACTTTATATTCGTGTTGAAGAGTATAATACAAAAGAATGTAAATTAGTAATAGCTTATTGGTTGGAAGGGGGAGGTGGAGGAAGTCGAGGTGGTGTTCAGCAACAACAACAGCAGCAACAACAAAAACAATTTAGAAGCAAAAAGTGAATTTATAAAAAAATTTTAATTTTTTAAATCTGTTTTGGGGTAGATAAGGGAATGTGTTCAATTAAGGATTGCGTTAATTGGGTATTATACCAAGCTTTTTAAAAGTGTTTGGTTGGGGTACATCATTTTAGCTATCGTCGCCCAAGGCACTGGAAATGTTACCTACTACGAAAAATGTTGTTACAGTAAGGTGGAGTGATTATTTTGGGGATATCATGGTATTTAAAGAGATATCGGTAGGGGGCTTGGGGAGATGTAAGTGATATATAATGTGACCAGAGGAACTCTAGTTTTGTTTATTCTTTTTGGGGGGTTTGACGTTTGGTTTCATTGGTTCTAAATAGGGTTGGGGGTCCGGTCCGAAAGAACGAGTCGCGCATCGAATTTTGCACCGAAAACGACTCGGTCGGGGTGGCCTGAAAAAAATGACTCGAACGTCGGTCTGACTCGAAAACTTCAACCCTAGTTCTAAACAACAAGGATGTCAAAAGAACCCTAAAGCAAGTATCAACCCAATTATGCGGGAAAGCATGTTATTAACCAACTTGTCTTTAATATATTTTTTTAAATTTAAGACAAATTCATCATTATCGGTTTACTATATATGGAGACAAAACAGATCCTCACAGCACTTTACGCGTCAAACACCATCCTTCTGGTCCAGAACTGCCAAAATTGGATCAAAGGTAGAGTAAATTAATCCAATTAAAAAATATTTTAATAATTTTTCTTAGTTTTTCCCTTCAACGTCTACTTAATGAAACAATTCTTTTTCGGTGTCGTGAACGGTTATTGCAAGCGCAAAATTTATTGGAGCGGGCGCAACCAAAACCAGCAAAGATTACTCGGGTAAGTTTTAAATTTAATTAATTTATTTTTCGTTATTCTGATTTTTGCATTTCTAAAATTCTGATTTTTATAATTCTGATTTTTACAATTCTGATTTTTATATTTTTCAAAATTCTGATTTTATAATTCTGATTTTTCTATTTTTCAAAATTCTGATTTTTCAAAATTCTGATTTTTAATATTCTGATTTTTGTATTTTTCAAAATTCTGATTTTTGTATTTTTTAAATTCTGGTTTTCGTATTTCTAAAATTCTGATTTTAATATTCTGATTTCTTTATTTTAATATTCTGATTTTTATATTTTTAATATTCTGATTTTTGTATTTTTCAAAATTCTGATTTCTAAAATTCTGATTTATTTATTTTTTTTTAATTCTGATTTTTTCATTTCAGTCTGGTCACTGTTTATTGTCTCTCACTTGCCCATTAATCTTAACAGAAGAATGCATTGCCGCTGAAGCTTTAATTATTTCTGTAAATACATTCTTTGGTACAGTTAATTGTCGAGTTGAAGCATTAGGTGAATTTTAAATATTTTTATGATTATTTAAAATATTAAAAAAAATTTTGGAGGGGTCGAAAAAATTTTTTGAGGCTGGAAAAAATTTTTGAAAATTTTTTTTCACCTTCCAATTAAAAATAATTTTTTCTTTTTAGGTCGTCGTGACGAAATTAACGAATTAGAAAAACAACTAAATGCAGCCAGTCCATCAATTAAAATTATAATCAATTTATTAGATCGTTTACGAATTTTAATTTTAATGGAGCGTTTACAGAGAGCTATTGTTGGACTACAAGTAATTTTCAGAAAAAAATTTTTTTGAAATTTTTTGAGAACCTTTCGAAAATTTCAGAATTTTTGAAATTTTTTACTCTTCAGAATTTCAAAAAATTTTCAAAAATTTTTTGAAATTTTTTTTTAATTTTTCTCATTAAGGTCAACAAACTCAACGACAACCAAGCTTTATCCCTAGCAAATAAATTAACTACACTTCCAAAAGATAGAAGCATTTTCCAGTTTATTAGGGAAGACCAATTTTATTTGGTAAATTTAAAAAATTAAAAAAATGGACCGACTCGAATTGAAGGATCGAGTCAGGCCTAAGATGTTAGGCCCTAAACAGACTCGTGCTGGCCCGATTCGATTAAAAAACAAGCCCGAAAAATTGGCTTCGACTGTCGGTTCGGCTCGAAAACGGCAACCTTGGGAGGGATGAGTTGCTTCATTTTATTGAGTAAATCACCTATATAATTTATAGGTTACGGGGTGGGGGAATTCCGATTTCCGACACCTCTGACTGTTTCGACTTACCTCTGGTGTCCACTAAAAAAATATTTTTTTCTTCAAATTTTAATATTTCTTTAATTAGATAATTGCTTTTACGCCTGATGATCAAACTGGAGTTAAAATCCAATTCCATTTATTTTCATCAACTGATGGTCGTTTAACTATGCTTGATCTTGATGCTGAACAGGTCCAAAAATTTTGAAAAAAAATTATGGAAATTATCCTCAAATATCATTCTGAGTACACCCCCCCCCCCCCGGGATCAGCACCCCCAAACGGCGACCTTGATTCTGCGCTCCATATTTGGTGCATTTAAGCTTGGCGTGGCTAGCTGCTTTTTAAAGGGTAAAAAATTGAATGTAGGTACTTAATCGTTGATGCTGAACAAAATTTTGTTTGGTCACGCCAAACCGCACCGCGCCAAAAAATCTGGCGCTTTATGTAGTCACCCTTATGCCACACCTATTTGGTGGTCCCTCACGACACGAAGCAAATAAAAAAAATTTTTTCTAACAGATAATCCGATCAGCACCTTTACCTCGTTTATATGCCGCCTCATTAGCCTTATCATCATCATCAAAAAATAACAACAAAAATCTTCATAATCAAAGACTTTCTGAATTTTTTCAGCGTTATCGTAAGCGTGAAGGGAAAAATGAAAAATAAATTTTTTAAATATTTTTATTAAAAAATGAGAGTTATAATTTTCTCTATAAATATAGGTATTTCAAAAAAAATTAATATTACAGTCAGGCCTCGTTATAAGTCACATGCTGTACTATAAGGTACCCTCAATATAGGGCAAAAAAGCGAATTTTTAGCTACGGCCTTACAAAATTCTCAAAATTTCCCCTCTTATTTGTTAGTAAGAAGCCAAATTTCTTCCTTTTTCAGTGCCGCAGACGGAAATTTTGAAAATTTTTGAAGGTCATGCGGCTATTTTTTGTCAATATAAAAACTGATAAAATCAATCCTTAGGGATGTTAAAAAATTCCGTTTTAACTTGAACTGAAGAACTTGAGTCTGAACTTAACAACCAAACCGAAACTGGAACCAAAAAAACCCGGGAACTTTACAACCTACCGGCACCTGAACTTCCGGTGAAGCTCTACTTCTTAGCCTTTAAAATTCAAAAAATTTTTGAATTTCTTCTTATAATGAGGTCTAACTGTAATTTACTCTCTCCTCTACCGATTATAAGTACATATATATTTAGATCTCTTCTATCATTTTATGATAGATTTTCTGATTTTTTTAGTGTTAGAAAAGTTGTGTGTGACCTCCTTTTCCTTGATTTTATTATTTTTTCTTAAACATTGTTGGGTAAAAAAATTAAAATTTTTTTATTTTATTAATTTTTAAGCATTTTTATGTTGCTTTTAATTCCTTTTTAATTTTAATTAATTTTTTTTGATTAAAAAATTTTTTTCTGGAGGGTCTTTGATGGCCTCCTTCTCCTCCACCCCTTACACCTTTCCAGCTCCTAACAACAATAATAATAATAAACGTGAAGCAATTGAAAGTGTTGATGATTTGAGGAATGAAACAACTGGGAAAGAAGCAAAAAGTGCTAGAATTATTAAGGAAGAAGAAGGGGATATTGAAGAGGAGGTGGAGAAAAATGAAGAGGAAGAAGAAGCAGTAGTGACTGGGGAACAAGTAAAATCAGAATTTTATTAAAAATCAGAATATTTAAGAAATCAGAATTTTCTATAAAATCAGAATTTTTAACAAAATCAGAATTTCATTTAAAATCAGAGTTTCATTTGAAATCAGAATTTTTAAGAAAAATCAGAATTTTGGGGAGATCAGAATTTTTAAGAAAATCAGAATTTACAAATTAGTATTTTTATTAAAATTCTGATTTTTATTAAAATCAGAATTTTGGGGAAATCAGAATTTACAAATTAGTATTTTTATTAAAATTCTGATTTTTATTGGAAATCAGAATTTTTGTTAAAATCAGAATTTTGGGCAAAATCAGAATTCAGAAATTTTAAGAATCAGAATTTTTCAAAAATCAGAATTCTCTTAAAAATTAAAATTTTTTAAGAAATTGAATTTTATTTTCTGGAAAAATCAGAATTTAATAAATACATTCTGGATTTTCTTACTTTTTAGAAAATTAACAATGAAGAACCGTCACTTCCTTCAACCTCATGGTTAGGCACTCACCGCCATTTACAAGCAGCAGTTGCTGCAATAGATGATCGCTTGTTGTTTTTACGTATTTGTGAGGAGTTGGATGCTAGAGGTGAATTAAAAATCAGAATTTATTAAAAAATCAGAATTTGTAAAAAGCAGAATTTATTGAAAATCAGAATTTATTTAAAAATCAGAATTTATTTAAAAATCAGAATTTATTAAAAATCAGAATTTATTAAAAATCAGAATTTATTTAAAAATCAGAATTATCTAAAAGTCGGAATTTTATTAAAAATCAGAATTATCTAAAAGTCAGAATTTTGTAAAAATCGGAATTATCTTAAAATCAGAATTTTCTAAAAATCAGAATCTTTAAAATCAGAATTTTATTGAAAGATCAGAATTTACGCAAATCAGAATTTTCTAAAAATCAGAATCTTTAAAATCAGAATTTTATTGAAAGATCAGAATTTACGCAAATCAGAATTTTATCAAAAATCAGAATTATCTTAAAATCAGAATTTTCTAAAAATCAGAATCTTTAAAATCAGACTTTTATTGAAAAATCAGAATTTACGCAAATCAGAATTTTTAAAATCAGAATTTAAATTATAAAGCTTCTCTTTAAGGTATTCGCTATGAATCTGTTAGCACTGAACCCTATGTTGGCGGTTATTTGTTAAAATTAATGGAGTCAGTTTTGCTTCATTATTTAAATTTTATTTATGCTTATTTTTAAGCATGTCTTCTGTTACAAATAAATTTAATGTGGATGCTGGAGATTTTTTTGAAAACTTGAAGGAGTGCAATATTCGATTGAATTTGCCTGATGGGAGTAGGTAAATAAATAAATTTTGGAAATTTTTTTGAATAATGAGGCATTGATTAGAAGGGGGGTATAGAAAATTTTTAATAAAATATTAATTCTACTATACTTAGCCAATTGGAATGTACCTTCATTAATCCTCCCTTGGTTCAAGATTTTGATCGTACAGAGGAGGAGGTGGAAGCTGATAAACAAAAAGTGATTAAAAAATATTTTTTTATGATTTTCAAGAAATTTTCAGAAAAAAAAATTCTAAAAATTTTTCAAAAATTTGCGAAAAAATTTTCAAAAAAAATTTTCAAGAAATTTCTAAATATTTTTGGAAAAAATTTTTCAAAAAATTTTTTAAAATTTTTCTAGAATTTTCAAAAAAGTTTGAAATTTTTTCAAAAATTTTTCAAAAAAATTTTATAAAATTTATAAGAATTTTCGAAAAAATTTTAGAAAAAATTTTTTCCTGAAAATTTTTAAAATTTCAAAAAAAAATTTATTTAGCCCCACACCTGGGTCTTAAACATTGGAAGTCAACGCCCAAGAGATATGCCCTCCCAAAGCTGTGTTATTGCCCACAACATTGAAGACCGTTTACTTACCTATTGCCATATTTACACACCTGTTAAACGCTTTGAGGAGGCTTACAATTCTTTTTACAAAAATTATTGCAGTGTGGGTTTAAAAAATTTTATTTTTTAAATTGTACTTTGCTTTGACTAAAAATTGATTTTAAATTATTTTGAAACAGGGCTGGCTAAAATAAGTAAAAATTAGAGTCCATACTGGGAGATGCTTACTAGAATCGAGATCGATATCTCGAAAATTCTAGACATGGATACCGTATTTTCTCGATTAATTCCCCACCCTCGAATAATTCCCCCACCTCTATTAATTCCTCATGCCACGGATGAGTTGAAAAAATAATTCCTCGGGGGAATTAATCGAGTAAAAACGGTAACCAAGATTTTTATTGATATCTCGTCTCGGTTCGGACTCTAGTCAAAACTTATGCGAATCCCTATTAACGTAAATACACCCACTTAAAGCATTGAAAGGCTGAATTTATTTTCGGATGGTTAGGAAACCTGAGTTTTTCCTTTCTTGAATAATTTTCTATGGGGAATTTCGTGTTTGGGTCATATTTTTGAACAGTTCTAAGGCTGGTTTCAGGGTGAAAACCGTTAAGATTTTGTGTAATCGGTTCATACTTGCTTTAGAAAAGAGAGGTAAAGCTTTCGCTCACCTCTTTACAGGTAAGGTTGACGGATAGTTGGAAATTTTCGGATATCTGGATCCGATATCCGAACCGAAAATTTCGGATATCCGGCCTTTTTTCAGATCCGCCTACCTTACTTACAGATGCTCTCTATCATATATTTCATTTCCTTAAAAGGTTGCTGATTTTTTTTCTCATTTTTCTACAGGTCCGCGCCTTCACTTACCACAAACTTGTATTGGCCTATGGCGGTGAACACCGCGATTTATTATTTATTCTTTCTTGGCGGTGGAATTGGAGAACTAAAACAGGCAATTATGCCCTGTGTTTTGGACAAGCCCCTTCAACAAATAAACAAAATGGGCATGTTCCCCAACGGTCCTCCTTTACTTTTTAAAGAAGTCTTTTAATAAACTAAAATTTATTTAGACGTTGGAATCCGCACGTTCTCGTCAGTCAACTTTTAATTGACCGCTTTAAAAAGGAACGGGATCTGGGTGGGTTTCTTTATAAAATGTTTAAAATTAATTTTAAAAATCAGAACAAAAAATCAGAACGAAAAATCAGAGAAATTTGTTCCGGTCAGAAAACCAGAAATATTCAGAAAAATTGTCATAATAAAAAATCAGAATTAAATTCATAAAAATTATCAGAATAATAAATCATAAAATCAGAACAAATTTCAGAAATCAGAAAAAAAATAAAAAAAACCAGAATTAAAATCAGAAAAAAAGACCAGAAATAAATTCAGAATTATCAGAATAATAAATCAAAAAAATCAGAACAAATTTCAGAACAAAAAATCAGAACAAAAATCAGAAAAAAATCAAAAAATCTGAACAAAAAATCAGAATAAAATCAGAAAAAATCAGAACAAAAAATCAGAAAAATATCAGAAAATAAATCAGAAAAAAATCAAAATATCAGAAAATTCAGAACAAAATCTTAAGAAATTTTTCATTTAAAGTTTGGCTAGTCAATTATCTCGTTAATTCACATCGCTCTCTAAGTATAATTCATCAATTTGTCAAAACTCAAATACGTTCGACTAAAATTAATTCTCAAATCCTTGGAACTGAAGCTAATTTTCCTGCTGAATTGATGGTGGGCTTTGTGTTTTTTAAATTAAAATTCTGATTTTTTAAAAATTCTAGTAAAAATCAGAATTTTATTTACATTAAAATACAAGTTTTTTTCTGTTAGAATAAGATTCTGATTTATGAAAAATACAAAAGTTGAGTATTCTGTGTTTTTAAATATTAATTCTGGTTTGAGAGAAAACACAAACTTGTATTTTAAAATACAAAAATTCTGATTTTAGAAAATACAAAATTTATGGGGAAGAAAATACAAATTCTGATTTGTTGAAAACACTTAATTCTGATTTGAAAAAATTCTGATTTACCAAATATAATTGTTTCTGTTAATACAAACTTGTATTTTAAAATACAAAAATTCTGATTTTAGAAAATACAAAATTCTGATTTGTTTAAAACACTAAATTCTGATTTGTTGAGAACACTAAATTCTGATTTTAAAAATACAAGAAATTCTGATTTACAAATGTTACTGTTTCTGATACAAACATTTCCTCGATAAAACAGAAAATTCTGATTCTAATAAATATATTTGTATTTTAACAAATCAGAAATTTATATTTTTAGTAAATCAGAATTTTGTATTTTATTGGGGAAGAATGTTTGTATTTTTTAAAATTCTGATTTTAAATTCTGATTTAATAAAAATACAAAATATTATTTATTTAAGTTCCATCTCACACCTGTTGATGAGTATTGCATTCGCCTTTCTTATGGTTCACAAATTTCTATGGAATTTCTTCTTTTACAAGATAATCAAGTGGCTGTTCGTGATTGTTCTGCTGGTGTTAGTGCTGGTGAATTTCGAAAAAAAATTTTTTAATTTTTTTTCTAGACATTAATTATGGAGGAGTAACCCTTTCTGATTTTTGGCGTTCTTTTCAGTTACAAAATGGTAGTGATGAAGAAGTTGAGCAAGTTTCTGCTGCGCCAGGGTCTTCTGAAGAATAGGTAGGGGTTTTAACCAGAATTAAATAGAAACCAGAATTTAATAAAAACTAGAAACAAATAAAAATCAGAATTAATTAAAAACATAGATTAGATTATACTAGAAAATATGTACAATTAAAAGACCAGAATTAAATATAAACATGAATTAAATACCAGAATTTATTAAAAACATAGAAATATAACTCCATAACTCCACAAAAACACCTTATAACTCCACAAAAGCTCCCGGAGATTTGGGGAGTGGACATTTGGGGAGTGGACAATTGGGGAGTGGAAATTTGGGGAGTGAGCGGACATTTGGAGAGTGGACAATTGGGGAGTAGACATTTGGGTAGTAAGTATTAAAAAAAATTTAAAAATAGATTTTTTGGCCAATAAAACTAATTTATACACTAGTGAAGGTGTTTTTGTGGAGTTATAAAGGGTAAAATTCAATTCCCCCACTTTTTTCCTTGCTCAACGTATTAAAAAGTGGTCAGTCAATCTTAGGTTATAGAACTCGTCGAGCTTCGTCGAATGTCAAAGCTCCCACTGTATCGTTTTTAGCGCCGCAGGCAAAACGTTTAAGAATATTTGAAGGCTAAGAAGCTAGATTTCTTCCTTTTTCATCACCGCATGCGAAAATTTTGAGAATTTTGAGAGGTTAGTTAAACGCCGTCTAGAGTGACAGTATCCCGTTTATGCCGTTTATCTAAGACTATACCATTCCGTTTAATTTTACCAAAAAACCCATTTACCATATACCGATTATCGTTTAGCTAAACGGTTTTGTGCTACCCTAATTTCTAGTGAAACCATGACCCCCGACCGAAAAGTCAATCCCGACTCCGAACCCCGACATGCCTTTACCAGCAAACCCCGATCACTGACATACCAGCCCCCGAAGGGAGGTTGCTATCCTACTTTTATGGGTGTACTCAACCGGCTACAGACATCAAAATATCTTTAAAATCTTTGAAACTCCACAAAAACACCTTCACTAGTGTATAAATTATTTTTATTGTCCGAAAAATCTATTTTAAAATTATTTTTTTAAATCCTCACTCCCCAAATGTCTACTCCCCAATTGTCCACTCCCCAAATGTCCGCTCACTCCCCAAATTTCCACTCCCCAATTGTCCACTCCCCAAGTGTCCACTCCCCAAATTTCCGGACACGAAATAAAAACCAGAATTAAATTACAACAAGAATTAGATATAAATCAGAACTAAATAAAAACATTAAATAGGTATTTAAAAACCAGAATTTATTAAAAAATCAGAATTAAATTAAAACAAGAGTTAAATATAAACCAGAATTTAAAAAAACCAGAATTAAATAAAAAATCAGAATTTTTATAAAAACCAGAATTTATTAAAAAATCAGAATCATATAAAAACAAAAATGTTTTTTAATGTCAAAATCTATTTTTAAATTTTTATCAGAATTTCTGGTTTCTATTTATACTTACATATTATTCAATTTATTTAATTTTTAGGTTGGCGGCAGGCGGTAAAATTATACTAATCTTTATTGACATTATCTTTTATTCTAATTTAACTAAAAAATTTTTTTATTTTTTTGTACAATTTGAAATTAATTATTTTTTAAATTTTCTTCCTATTTTTTAGAATTTTCTATGCTGTTTGTGATTATTTTTTAAAATAATTCTTCTGATATTTCTTCTGATATTTTTTCTAACCTTTTTAATTTGTCAATAAAAATATTTTTTCTAATTTTTTTAAATTTCATATTTAAAGGATTTCTTAATTCCTCTTTACTTTTTAAATTAAAAATTTTTTTTCTAATTTATAAACATTTATTTTTGGCATTGTTTCACAAATGAACAATCCTTATCGTTCAATTTTTGGAAATGATGGGAATACTAACAGCAACATTAACAAATTGACAACACAACAACAGGTGTGGATAAAAATATTATTTAGTTGAATATATGGGGGCAAAGAATAAAAATTTTGGGCAAAATTAAAAACATGGGCCATTGTCCGTTTGCTCCCTATTTTGGATAAGCTTTAGTTTTGTCCGCAAAAAATTGTCCGCAAAAATTTTTTGCGGACTCCACAAATTTTCCTAATTTTTTCCCGCAAATCCTTTTGTCCGCAATTTTCGTCCGCAAATTTTTTTCTGTCCGCAAAAAATTTGCGGACGAAAAAATTGTCCGCAAAAAATTTGCGGACGAAAAAATTTGTCCGCAAATTTTTTGCGGACATTAAAATAAATTTTTTTTCAGTTTTCCAACCAAATATCTTCCCAATTTAAACAACATCAACAACAATCCCAATCATATTTACAGAATTCTACTAACAATTTTTTAATATCAACAACCTCAAACAACAACGGCAACACAATCCCAAACTCTCCCCATTCAGATACAGCAGCATTACCACCACCTCCGTCCTCCTTAGGAAATTTAACAAAACGTCCTCTTTCTGTTCCTCCCCAAAATATGGGTAATAATGGAAATTTAGGAGGAGGAAAAATTGGAGGGGGAGGAGGGAAACAACAACAACAATTGTACAATATACAGGTGAGTGAGAGGGGGAGGGTTTTTTTTTTAATAAAAAAAAATTTTTTTATTCCCCTTTGATTTTTTAGTCTTTGGTTTTGTTATTTAATTTATGTGGGAAAATGAAACAAAAATATAAAAATAGAGAATATCACGAGTAAAAATAAAACCATTAATTTTTTTAGCATTTAGGTGAGACATTTTATCCCATTTTCTTTTAAATATTTTATTCCTTCTTTGTTTCATATTTCCTTATTTTTAAATACGCTCAGGCATGAAACCCGAACTTCTTCAATCCAAAACTAATGATCCGAAGAAAATTTCGAGACCCCGCCTCCAACTTTTATATTTTCCATGGAAATTTTTTCCACATATATGATCAGATTAAATTTTTTAGCTGACCCGACCTGAAACCAATCCCGAAACTCGGTTTTTATATTTCTGCGATAAATTTTAATGTCAAGCAAAACTGAAATTTGCCGGCAAAATTGAACTCCTTCAAATTTTGCAATTTAAACTCTGACCCAAAACTCGGACTATTTCCATCCGAAACCCAATCTGAAGAACATTTTGAAAACCTAATCTGATTTGAAACATGATAACCTGATATTCCCACTGATTTAAAACCTGATACCCCCACCTTACGGTACTTCTCACTTTAGTATACGATTTTTCAACCCCAAAGGCTTACACATAAGTGAGGTCCTTTTTTAATAATAAATTTTATCCTTAATAATTTATTTATCTTTCAGAATTCAGCAATGAGTGCGCGTGAATTTTTCTCTTTACAAATTCGACGTCCCCAACAAATCTCCCAACCTCCAATAGCTGAAGAAGTTGAAATTGTTGGACAAAACAAAAATGTTATAATTAATGAGGATGATGGAAAAGAATATTTTTTAAACGAAGAAAGTGGGGGAGGAGGAGGAGGGAAGAGGCGTCATTCTTCATCATTTTCTAGCAGCCAGCCTAATAATCAATCAAAAAAATTGAGGGTAAGTAAAATAGTGGAAGAATTAAAAAGGAAAAAAAATTATATTAAAAAAATACAAAGAAAAGATGCTAAAAAATTAATTAGCAAAGGGAAAAATTTATTAAATAAAAATGAAAAAAGGTTAAAACAAATGAAAATTGGAAGAGGAAAGAAGGTAAGGGATGGGTTCTTTCATTATTCGGTGATTGGGTTTTTTATGGGCTGCAACAATATGGCACTAATATAAGCTATAATACTTGAATTGCCCTTAGGCTTCGGATTTGTCCGCAAATATATTTTGTCCGCAATTTGTCCGTAAATATATTTTATCCGCAATTTTTTGTCCGCAAATATATTTCGTCGGCAATTTTATGTCCGCAATTTTTTGTCCGTAAATATATTTCGTCGGCAATTTTATGTCCGCAATTTTTTGTCCGTAAATATATTTCGTCGGCAATTTTATGTCCGCAATTTTTTGTCCGTAAATATATTTCGTCGGCAATTTTATGTCCGCAATTTTTTGTCCGCAAATATATTTTGTCCGCAAATATATTTTGTCCGCAAGTATATTTTATCCGCAAATTTTTGTCCGCAAATTTTATATCCGCAAATATATTTTATATCTGCAATTTTTTGTCCGCAATTTTATGTCCAAAAATATTTTTATACATAACTTTTTTAGTCCGCAAATAGCTGACCGACAAATCCAATAGAGGATTAGAGTTAGTCCAAAACCTGTTTCAAAAATTATTCTTTTTCCATTAAAATAATATTTTTTTAAAGAATCAACCAATCTCTACAGAAGTAGTAACCTTAGAAGAAGATGACGAGATAGAAACAGAAGATTCTGAAACAATTACTGAACAAAATATTAATTCAACAACAACAGATTCAACAGAAATACCTTCCCAATTACAGAAGAAAAATACTGCAACTACAAGTTTGGCTTCTACTGCTTTAATGAATGCGGCTAGTGGAGGAGGGTAGGTTTTTAAAGAAGAAACTTAAATTAGAGAAAATTTAAATTAAATATAGGGGGCTTTGAATATTTAAATGTATTTGGTTTCCGGAAATGTTTATTTGGTTGGATAATTTTCCGGAAAATACAGTTTTATCTCAAGACATGCAATTTTTCGGAAATGTTTTAATAGTACGTTTGCTTTCTGAAGTTTCCGGAAAATACATTTAATATAGAAATAGTTTTATTATTTGTTAGCGCATGTATTTTCCGGAAATGTTTATAGTTTATATATGTGTTTAATTAAATGTTTATCTCTTAATTTTCCGGAAAACATCTATGGAAAACATCAGAACAATTTATTTTCCGGAAAACACATTTATATTTCAACAAACATGTTTTATTATTCCTTAATCATGTAGTTTTCCGGAAAGGAACATATTTTTCTATTTAATGTATTTTCCGGAAAGGTTTGTATTTTTCTATTCAATGTATTTTTCCGGAAAGGTTTGTATTTTTCTATTCAATGTGTTTTCCGGAAAGGTTCATATTTTTCTATTTAATGTATTTTTCCGGAAAGGTTTGTATTTTTCTATTCAATGTGTTTTCCGGAAAGGTTCATATTTTTCTATTTAATGTATTTTTCCGGAAAGGTTTGTATTTTTCTATTCAATGTGTTTTCCGGAAAGGTTCATATTTTTCTATTTAATGTATTTTTCCGGAAAGGTTTGTATTTTTCTATTCAATGTATTTTTCCGGAAAGGTTTGTATTTTTCTATTCAATGTATTTTTCCGGAAAGGTTTGTATTTTTCTATTCAATGTATTTTTCCGGAAAGGTTTGTATTTTTCTATTAAATGTGTTTTCCGGAAAAGTTTGTTGTGTTTTTGTGTTTTTTCTGAAAATTTTCCGGAAAATACATGTTTGTATTTTATCCGTTGTTTGGTTTACTTTTTCCGGAAAACATTTAAACAATATATTTCCGGAAAATACGTTTTATATTTACGAAGCATGTCTTTTTTAAACATGTGTTTTAAGAAAATAATTTCAGATTTACTGAGCATTCGTCTATTGGCCATAGCCCCATAAAAAGCATTGAATATAAAAGAACTGATATTGGTGAGGATAATCAAGTAAAATCTCAACAGCAACAAGAAGAGCTAGAATTGCGTAGACAACGACGTCGTGCTCCAATCCTGTTGGACAGTCGATCGCTTGAAAGGGCAATGGGTCAGAGAATTGAAAGTAAATAAAAAATTAAAAAAATCAGAACAAAAAAATCAGAACAAAAATCAGAACAAAAAAAATCAGAATAAAAATCAGAATAAAAATCAGAACAAAAAATCAGAATAAAAATCAGAACAAAAAATCAGAATAAAAATCAGAATAAAAATCAGACAGAAAATCAGAACAAAAAAATCAGAATAAAAATCAGAACAAAAAATCAGAACAAAATCGAACATAAAATCAGAACAAAAAATCAGAATAAAAATCAGAACAAAAAAATCAGAATAAAAATCAGAACATAAAATCAGAATAAAAATCAAAAAAAAATCAGAACAAAAAATATTTTCCTTTTCAGCCCCCTCAGAACAACACCCCACCCCTCCATTGGAACAATTCCTTCAAAGTCAATATTTGCTGTCTCGCTTACAACCCTTTTTTGAATTCGCTGCAGCCGAAACACAACAACGACGTGGAGAACTTGGTGGCAAACTAAACTTGCAAGTAAAAGAATATCAATGTTCACCCCAGCAAGGAACACTAACTGTTACATTCCCGAGGTATTTTTTTAAATTTTTAAATCAAAAATACAAAAATCAAAAATACAAATATTGAAATATTAAAAACACAACATTTCGGAATTATAAATACAAAATCCGAATTAAAATATCTAGGTAGCAGGGTTTTTGCTAACAAGTTAGGAAAAGTGTTTTTGCTGTTTGGAAGGAAATACATATATCTTTCTGAACATTTGTGTTTTTCTGGAATATGTGTTTCTCAGATTTAAATATATGTGGAAACATTGGGGTTGACTACTTAAAACAATATGTTTTTATGAATGTTTGTGTTTTTATAAATTGTTGTGTTTTTCTGATATTTTCTAGATGTTTTTCTAAATGTTTGTGTTTCTCTGAAACAATGTTTTTCTGAATTAATTGTTTTTATAATGTTTTTCTGATTTAAAACGTGTTTTCTGTAAACTTTATTCTTCCAACTTAAAATAATATGTTTTTCTGAATGTTTGTGTTTTTCTAAAATATATGTTTTCTGAACGTTTGTGTTTTTCTGAAATACATATGTTTCTCTAATTTAAATATATATGTTTCCGGAAACATTTGTTTTTCCAACTTAAAACATCATGTTTTTACGAATGTTTGTGTTCTTCTAATTTGGCTTGTTTTTCTGATAATTCTAAATGTTTTTCTAAATGTTTGTGTTTCACTCAAATAATGTTTTACTGAATTAATTTTTTGTATAATGTTTTTCTGATTTAAAACGTGTTTTCTAAAAACATTCTTCCAACACAAAACGATATGTTTTTATGAATGTTTGTGTTTTTCTAATTTGGTGTGTTTTTCTGTGTTTTTCTGAAATAACACTACTTATAAAACATGTGTTTTTCGTAAGAAATGTTTCATGTTTATGGAAACAAATGTTTTTGCTAAATTATAATTTAAATTAATTAATTTTTCAAGCCATCCACTCTCTCTAAACAACACTAACAACATCGATACTCTAAATGCACCACAACAACAACAAACTTTAAATCATATGATTAAAATGCAACTTCTTATCTGCCCAAAGGATTTGAGATTAATAACAAAATTGGATTATTGTAGGTTTATGTGGGACCAAAATGCGTCAAAACCTCATTATAAGATACACCGCTATTTAAGAGACATTTTTAAAATTTGGTTGTCCACAAACACCCCACATTGTCCACAGTATGAAGGTGCCCACTGGATGGTGGTTAATAAGCTTTGCCCTCTATTTAAGATACCCCTCATTATAAGGTAAAAAATATAGTTGCCCCAACGTGTGTCTTATAATGAGGTTTTACATAATATATTAAAATTTAAAAATATAGCTGGCTTCAACTGCCCACTTGATTCTGATGTTCGTATATTTGAAAGATTTTTTGCTTCATTTGTCGCAAAAGTTGATAATGAATTGGCAGTCTTCTCCTTTACAAGTCTGTGTCGTTCTTCTACACCAAAAATATTTTCGTCATTTGCGCGACTTATGCAAGCACAAATGGTGAGAATTTATTTACACAAATATATTTAAAAAATACAGAAATATACAGTTATAAAAATACAAAAATATTACAATTATAAAAACAAATTTATTGGTAATAAAATACAAAAAAATACAACATAAAATCAGAATTATAAAAACACAAGATAAAAATACATTTATATTTCCGGAAAACTGGATAACTTAAACATTGTATTTTCCGGAATATATATTTTCCGGAAATATATTATGTTCCGGAAATATATTATTTTACGGAATATATGTTCCGGAATATATATTTTCCGGAAATATATTTTCCGGAATATATTATATTTCCCCTATAAATACTTTTTCCGGAACATTTTCGCTAAAATACAAACACACGTATTTTACTAAAAATACAAGAAAAATACAAGAAAACACAAAAAATTTAGGAGCCTGGAAATTACCCCTGGCGTATTGAGTTTGAATTGATTAATATTCCTGAAGATTTTCAACAAAGAGATCAGCAACAACAACAACAGAATTTTCCAACTCATCAACCAAATTTGGGGCAAACTTTAAAAAATGTTCAACAAAGCGTTGTGGTAAAATTTTTTTAGAATATGCTTAGGAAAAGAACATATTTTTGAAATAATAAAAACATCGATCAAAATTCCTTATAAGAGTAGGTTGGGGGAGATTGGAGTTTGAAAAATCGGGGGTCATCTACATACACTCAAATTACAAAAAATGACGGGATCAGGGAATCGTCGGGGGTTGCTAACCTTCGTTATTACTAGAGAAGGGACAGAGACGAGTACCAGAACAAAGATATTTGAGATATCTCATTAGATTCTCGACGGAAAATTCCCTTGTTTTTTGAGATTGGGGGCAAAGTATATAATTATTACAATTTAAGATCAGCGACATGAACAAACAAATTACTTTTTGTTTATTTCTTTATCCAAACAATTGTACAAATAAAACATATCGACATCGGATTAAGTAGCGAAGCTTAATCCGATGTCGATATGTTTTATTTGTACAATTGTTTGGATAAAGAAATAAACAAAAAGTAATTTGTTTGTTCATGTCGCTGATCTTAAATTGTAATAATTATATACTTTGCCCCCAATCTCAAAAAACAAGGGAATTTTCCGTCGAGAATCTAATGAGATATCTCAAATATCTTTGTTCTGGTACTCGTCTCTGTCCCTTCTCTAGTAATAACGAAGGTTAGCAACCCCCGACGATTCCCTGATCCCGTCATTTTTTGTAATTTGAGTGTATGTAGATGACCCCCGATTTTTCAAACTCCAATCTCCCCCAACCTACTCTTATAAGGAATTTTGATCGATGTTTTTATTATTTCAAAAATATGTTCTTTTCCTAAGCATATTCTAAAAAAATTTTACCACAACGCTTTGTTGAACATTTTTTAAAGTTTGCCCCAAATTTGGTTGATGAGTTGGAAAATTCTGTTGTTGTTGTTGCTGATCTCTTTGTTGAAAATCTTCAGGAATATTAATCAATTCAAACTCAATACGCCAGGGGTAATTTCCAGGCTCCTAAATTTTTTGTGTTTTCTTGTATTTTTCTTGTATTTTTAGTAAAATACGTGTGTTTGTATTTTAGCGAAAATGTTCCGGAAAAAGTATTTATAGGGGAAATATAATATATTCCGGAAAATATATTTCCGGAAAATATATATTCCGGAACATATATTCCGTAAAATAATATATTTCCGGAACATAATATATTTCCGGAAAATATATATTCCGGAAAATACAATGTTTAAGTTATCCAGTTTTCCGGAAATATAAATGTATTTTTATCTTGTGTTTTTATAATTCTGATTTTATGTTGTATTTTTTTGTATTTTATTACCAATAAATTTGTTTTTATAATTGTAATATTTTTGTATTTTTATAACTGTATATTTCTGTATTTTTTAAATATATTTGTGTAAATAAATTCTCACCATTTGTGCTTGCATAAGTCGCGCAAATGACGAAAATATTTTTGGTGTAGAAGAACGACACAGACTTGTAAAGGAGAAGACTGCCAATTCATTATCAACTTTTGCGACAAATGAAGCAAAAAATCTTTCAAATATACGAACATCAGAATCAAGTGGGCAGTTGAAGCCAGCTATATTTTTAAATTTTAATATATTATGTAAAACCTCATTATAAGACACACGTTGGGGCAACTATATTTTTTACCTTATAATGAGGGGTATCTTAAATAGAGGGCAAAGCTTATTAACCACCATCCAGTGGGCACCTTCATACTGTGGACAATGTGGGGTGTTTGTGGACAACCAAATTTTAAAAATGTCTCTTAAATAGCGGTGTATCTTATAATGAGGTTTTGACGCATTTTGGTCCCACATAAACCTACAATAATCCAATTTTGTTATTAATCTCAAATCCTTTGGGCAGATAAGAAGTTGCATTTTAATCATATGATTTAAAGTTTGTTGTTGTTGTGGTGCATTTAGAGTATCGATGTTGTTAGTGTTGTTTAGAGAGAGTGGATGGCTTGAAAAATTAATTAATTTAAATTATAATTTAGCAAAAACATTTGTTTCCATAAACATGAAACATTTCTTACGAAAAACACATGTTTTATAAGTAGTGTTATTTCAGAAAAACACAGAAAAACACACCAAATTAGAAAAACACAAACATTCATAAAAACATATCGTTTTGTGTTGGAAGAATGTTTTTAGAAAACACGTTTTAAATCAGAAAAACATTATACAAAAAATTAATTCAGTAAAACATTATTTGAGTGAAACACAAACATTTAGAAAAACATTTAGAATTATCAGAAAAACAAGCCAAATTAGAAGAACACAAACATTCGTAAAAACATGATGTTTTAAGTTGGAAAAACAAATGTTTCCGGAAACATATATATTTAAATTAGAGAAACATATGTATTTCAGAAAAACACAAACGTTCAGAAAACATATATTTTAGAAAAACACAAACATTCAGAAAAACATATTATTTTAAGTTGGAAGAATAAAGTTTACAGAAAACACGTTTTAAATCAGAAAAACATTATAAAAACAATTAATTCAGAAAAACATTGTTTCAGAGAAACACAAACATTTAGAAAAACATCTAGAAAATATCAGAAAAACACAACAATTTATAAAAACACAAACATTCATAAAAACATATTGTTTTAAGTAGTCAACCCCAATGTTTCCACATATATTTAAATCTGAGAAACACATATTCCAGAAAAACACAAATGTTCAGAAAGATATATGTATTTCCTTCCAAACAGCAAAAACACTTTTCCTAACTTGTTAGCAAAAACCCTGCTACCTAGATATTTTAATTCGGATTTTGTATTTATAATTCCGAAATGTTGTGTTTTTAATATTTCAATATTTGTATTTTTGATTTTTGTATTTTTGATTTAAAAATTTAAAAAAATACCTCGGGAATGTAACAGTTAGTGTTCCTTGCTGGGGTGAACATTGATATTCTTTTACTTGCAAGTTTAGTTTGCCACCAAGTTCTCCACGTCGTTGTTGTGTTTCGGCTGCAGCGAATTCAAAAAAGGGTTGTAAGCGAGACAGCAAATATTGACTTTGAAGGAATTGTTCCAATGGAGGGGTGGGGTGTTGTTCTGAGGGGGCTGAAAAGGAAAATATTTTTTGTTCTGATTTTTTTTTGATTTTTATTCTGATTTTATGTTCTGATTTTTATTCTGATTTTTTTGTTCTGATTTTTATTCTGATTTTTTGTTCTGATTTTATGTTCGATTTTGTTCTGATTTTTTGTTCTGATTTTTATTCTGATTTTTTTGTTCTGATTTTCTGTCTGATTTTTATTCTGATTTTTATTCTGATTTTTTGTTCTGATTTTTATTCTGATTTTTTGTTCTGATTTTTATTCTGATTTTTATTCTGATTTTTTTTGTTCTGATTTTTGTTCTGATTTTTTTGTTCTGATTTTTTTAATTTTTTATTTACTTTCAATTCTCTGACCCATTGCCCTTTCAAGCGATCGACTGTCCAACAGGATTGGAGCACGACGTCGTTGTCTACGCAATTCTAGCTCTTCTTGTTGCTGTTGAGATTTTACTTGATTATCCTCACCAATATCAGTTCTTTTATATTCAATGCTTTTTATGGGGCTATGGCCAATAGACGAATGCTCAGTAAATCTGAAATTATTTTCTTAAAACACATGTTTAAAAAAGACATGCTTCGTAAATATAAAACGTATTTTCCGGAAATATATTGTTTAAATGTTTTCCGGAAAAAGTAAACCAAACAACGGATAAAATACAAACATGTATTTTCCGGAAAATTTTCAGAAAAAACACAAAAACACAACAAACTTTTCCGGAAAACACATTTAATAGAAAAATACAAACCTTTCCGGAAAAATACATTGAATAGAAAAATACAAACCTTTCCGGAAAAATACATTGAATAGAAAAATACAAACCTTTCCGGAAAAATACATTGAATAGAAAAATACAAACCTTTCCGGAAAAATACATTAAATAGAAAAATATGAACCTTTCCGGAAAACACATTGAATAGAAAAATACAAACCTTTCCGGAAAAATACATTAAATAGAAAAATATGAACCTTTCCGGAAAACACATTGAATAGAAAAATACAAACCTTTCCGGAAAAATACATTAAATAGAAAAATATGAACCTTTCCGGAAAACACATTGAATAGAAAAATACAAACCTTTCCGGAAAAATACATTGAATAGAAAAATACAAACCTTTCCGGAAAATACATTAAATAGAAAAATATGTTCCTTTCCGGAAAACTACATGATTAAGGAATAATAAAACATGTTTGTTGAAATATAAATGTGTTTTCCGGAAAATAAATTGTTCTGATGTTTTCCATAGATGTTTTCCGGAAAATTAAGAGATAAACATTTAATTAAACACATATATAAACTATAAACATTTCCGGAAAATACATGCGCTAACAAATAATAAAACTATTTCTATATTAAATGTATTTTCCGGAAACTTCAGAAAGCAAACGTACTATTAAAACATTTCCGAAAAATTGCATGTCTTGAGATAAAACTGTATTTTCCGGAAAATTATCCAACCAAATAAACATTTCCGGAAACCAAATACATTTAAATATTCAAAGCCCCCTATATTTAATTTAAATTTTCTCTAATTTAAGTTTCTTCTTTAAAAACCTACCCTCCTCCACTAGCCGCATTCATTAAAGCAGTAGAAGCCAAACTTGTAGTTGCAGTATTTTTCTTCTGTAATTGGGAAGGTATTTCTGTTGAATCTGTTGTTGTTGAATTAATATTTTGTTCAGTAATTGTTTCAGAATCTTCTGTTTCTATCTCGTCATCTTCTTCTAAGGTTACTACTTCTGTAGAGATTGGTTGATTCTTTAAAAAAATATTATTTTAATGGAAAAAGAATAATTTTTGAAACAGGTTTTGGACTAACTCTAATCCTCTATTGGATTTGTCGGTCAGCTATTTGCGGACTAAAAAAGTTATGTATAAAAATATTTTTGGACATAAAATTGCGGACAAAAAATTGCAGATATAAAATATATTTGCGGATATAAAATTTGCGGACAAAAATTTGCGGATAAAATATACTTGCGGACAAAATATATTTGCGGACAAAATATATTTGCGGACAAAAAATTGCGGACATAAAATTGCCGACGAAATATATTTACGGACAAAAAATTGCGGACATAAAATTGCCGACGAAATATATTTACGGACAAAAAATTGCGGACATAAAATTGCCGACGAAATATATTTACGGACAAAAAATTGCGGACATAAAATTGCCGACGAAATATATTTGCGGACAAAAAATTGCGGATAAAATATATTTACGGACAAATTGCGGACAAAATATATTTGCGGACAAATCCGAAGCCTAAGGGCAATTCAAGTATTATAGCTTATATTAGTGCCATATTGTTGCAGCCCATAAAAAACCCAATCACCGAATAATGAAAGAACCCATCCCTTACCTTCTTTCCTCTTCCAATTTTCATTTGTTTTAACCTTTTTTCATTTTTATTTAATAAATTTTTCCCTTTGCTAATTAATTTTTTAGCATCTTTTCTTTGTATTTTTTTAATATAATTTTTTTTCCTTTTTAATTCTTCCACTATTTTACTTACCCTCAATTTTTTTGATTGATTATTAGGCTGGCTGCTAGAAAATGATGAAGAATGACGCCTCTTCCCTCCTCCTCCTCCCCCACTTTCTTCGTTTAAAAAATATTCTTTTCCATCATCCTCATTAATTATAACATTTTTGTTTTGTCCAACAATTTCAACTTCTTCAGCTATTGGAGGTTGGGAGATTTGTTGGGGACGTCGAATTTGTAAAGAGAAAAATTCACGCGCACTCATTGCTGAATTCTGAAAGATAAATAAATTATTAAGGATAAAATTTATTATTAAAAAAGGACCTCACTTATGTGTAAGCCTTTGGGGTTGAAAAATCGTATACTAAAGTGAGAAGTACCGTAAGGTGGGGGTATCAGGTTTTAAATCAGTGGGAATATCAGGTTATCATGTTTCAAATCAGATTAGGTTTTCAAAATGTTCTTCAGATTGGGTTTCGGATGGAAATAGTCCGAGTTTTGGGTCAGAGTTTAAATTGCAAAATTTGAAGGAGTTCAATTTTGCCGGCAAATTTCAGTTTTGCTTGACATTAAAATTTATCGCAGAAATATAAAAACCGAGTTTCGGGATTGGTTTCAGGTCGGGTCAGCTAAAAAATTTAATCTGATCATATATGTGGAAAAAATTTCCATGGAAAATATAAAAGTTGGAGGCGGGGTCTCGAAATTTTCTTCGGATCATTAGTTTTGGATTGAAGAAGTTCGGGTTTCATGCCTGAGCGTATTTAAAAATAAGGAAATATGAAACAAAGAAGGAATAAAATATTTAAAAGAAAATGGGATAAAATGTCTCACCTAAATGCTAAAAAAATTAATGGTTTTATTTTTACTCGTGATATTCTCTATTTTTATATTTTTGTTTCATTTTCCCACATAAATTAAATAACAAAACCAAAGACTAAAAAATCAAAGGGGAATAAAAAAATTTTTTTTTATTAAAAAAAAAACCCTCCCCCTCTCACTCACCTGTATATTGTACAATTGTTGTTGTTGTTTCCCTCCTCCCCCTCCAATTTTTCCTCCTCCTAAATTTCCATTATTACCCATATTTTGGGGAGGAACAGAAAGAGGACGTTTTGTTAAATTTCCTAAGGAGGACGGAGGTGGTGGTAATGCTGCTGTATCTGAATGGGGAGAGTTTGGGATTGTGTTGCCGTTGTTGTTTGAGGTTGTTGATATTAAAAAATTGTTAGTAGAATTCTGTAAATATGATTGGGATTGTTGTTGATGTTGTTTAAATTGGGAAGATATTTGGTTGGAAAACTGAAAAAAAATTTATTTTAATGTCCGCAAAAAATTTGCGGACAAATTTTTTCGTCCGCAAATTTTTTGCGGACAATTTTTTCGTCCGCAAATTTTTTGCGGACAGAAAAAAATTTGCGGACGAAAATTGCGGACAAAAGGATTTGCGGGAAAAAATTAGGAAAATTTGTGGAGTCCGCAAAAAATTTTTGCGGACAATTTTTTGCGGACAAAACTAAAGCTTATCCAAAATAGGGAGCAAACGGACAATGGCCCATGTTTTTAATTTTGCCCAAAATTTTTATTCTTTGCCCCCATATATTCAACTAAATAATATTTTTATCCACACCTGTTGTTGTGTTGTCAATTTGTTAATGTTGCTGTTAGTATTCCCATCATTTCCAAAAATTGAACGATAAGGATTGTTCATTTGTGAAACAATGCCAAAAATAAATGTTTATAAATTAGAAAAAAAATTTTTAATTTAAAAAGTAAAGAGGAATTAAGAAATCCTTTAAATATGAAATTTAAAAAAATTAGAAAAAATATTTTTATTGACAAATTAAAAAGTTTAAATAATCTCTATTATTTAATTTAATAATTTATAAACTTTCTAATTTTTTATAATTTTTAATAATTTATAAACTTTAATGTTATAACTTTCTATGATCTTTTTATTTAATTTTTTCTAAATTTGACAAAAAATAGCCAAAAATAAAATTAAAGCCTTTATATCTAAATTTTTATTAAATTTTTGTAATATAAATTAGAATTAATTTAAACTTTCAATGTTGATATAAAAATTTAGTTAATATTAAATTATTAGTTGCCATCAAATATAGTTATTCACATAATTAATATCTTTGTTAATTATAAGCGGGCCTCCGTTGTCTCCTTTGGACAACCCTTTAAAATTATTTGATTAATTTATTTATTTTTATCATTAATTTTTTAAAGTCTTAAATTTATTTAAATTATAAAAAGTAATTTATTTTGTAGAAATATTTATATAAAACTGTTTTAAAAATTAATTTTATATAAATAGAATATTGAAATAGTTTTTTGTTATTTAAAAATCTGAAACTGATTTTTTGAACAAATTTTGAACTCGGTTTAAATTTAATATAGATTTTAATATTTATTGTAGAAATTTTTAATTGTGATTATTATGTTCTAATAAAATTATTAAATGAAAATTTTTGTCACAAATTCTTTCGTTTTTTTATTTTTGAGACAAAATGTAGCTATTATTTTATTCTAAATAAATTTATGAGAATATAATATTGCGCTTATAGAA